AAGCACTGATTCATCGCATCAAAACCTGAATCGGATGCTTCTTGCTAATCACCTTTTAGGACTTCTGAAAAGCATTTCTCATGTTCCAAAATTGATGCTTGCGCGTTCTACTATCTCTGTAAGTTCACTTCTCGTGTTTAAACTAAGTAGATTTTATTTTATGAGTTAATATCATCTCTAATCCCTAAAATTTGATCTAGTTTTGATTTTAGTTTCTAAAATTCAAAACCGATAGCTCTGATTCTTAAAATTTGACCTCACTTTGATCCATCTAAAGATTTTTTATCCCTCAAATAGTGTTTTTGGTCCTTGAAATTATTGACTTCAAATTTCAGGGATCAAAATTAAAATGAGGTCAAATTTCAAAGACTAATGATGATATTAATCTTTGATTTTATTTTTTTCCCTCCCCTTTGAATTGTAAATCAATTTCTCGTTTCCAGGTTCTCCTTGGCATACCCGAAGCAGTGAATGTACCGATGTTCTTGGGCTTGAGAAGTCTTGAGCTGGATTATAAATCATCAGATTTTTCAAATGTACGCTTGTTGAAAATACTAGAAAGCACCCCCTGCCTTGAGGCTCTGGTCTTTTGTGAGGTAACTTCACAACCAAACGAAAGTGATCATACATTTGTTTATTGTGGCTGCTTAATTAGTTTCAGCAACAACAGCTAACATTAGAATTATATGATTTGAGAAGGGAATTATGGTGCCCCCCAATCCAAATGAGGATGGAATATTGGACCCTGTGCCTGCATGTTTCCTGAACAAACCGAACTCTGTTTTTGTTCATGTAATGTATGGAGATGAGGTGGGCTTGGTGGGGATAAAGCTTATACTCAAAAATGCAGAAGTCTTGAGGAAGACGGCCATTCTGCTGGGATTATCTGTGACTCAAGACAAGAAAAACAAGTTCCCCGTTGAGCTATTGAAGCTCGCTAGAGCTTCAAATGATTGTGGCGTCTTCATAGTTTAAACCAGCTATGCATAGGATCAAGTTCTCCAATCACACATACACATAAGTTCTATTTTTTTTAAATATTATCATTTAATAGTTTTTAATTATAAACCCATATGAAAAATATAGTGATTGAAAAAATTTGACATAATGGATGTAAATAATTTAACCCAAGTATTTCCCTTTTATATATATATATATATATATATATTAGCGGTTGAACTTGTTCATAGGCTAAATTACTCCAGTAGAATTACGTAGTACTACCTCTGGTGCTAATTATAAGAGCCAATTGACTAATTTGAGGAGATTAAGAAAGTAAGTTGAGTTAGTTATTTGTTCTAAATAGATGTTGTTTTTCCTAAAATATCCTTAATAATCAAGTTTATTAACTAGAACTATTATTGTTAGAAGGGTTACTTTGGAAAAAAATATATAAATATGAGAGACAAAGTGGATTGGGGTCTTATATATAGAACCAAAATAAAAGTTAAACAAGATCTTATATTAAGAACTGGAGGTAGTATATAGTATGTATCCTATTTTGTTTTTATTTGATAATTCAAAGACTAACTTCTCATAATGCATTAGCCAGGCCATTTTTTTGTGTTCTCTCTCTAATCTTGGGATATAATCTGTGCGTGGTGTTTTTGCATTAAAGCTATTTAGCCCAGAAGATGTTTCCTCTGCTTTTGCTTGCACTGTTTTTTTATCCTTTTTTATTCCCTTTAAAATCTAGTTCTGGACTTACGGGTTTCTGTTGGTTGAGTTTGTCACACCGATTTGGATCAGAAAAAAGTCTTCCACTCATTGGTTTACATGTGGCTCAATGATATACAGAAATAGATTAGGGGTTGGTTTAGTTTAAGCATTGTTAAGGGAAGCCTTCAAGTTAGTGGAGCAACTTAGTTTTATTTTGAGTTGCTGGTACCGCCTAGAAATTTGATCTTAGTACCTACCCTTAGAATTTTAATAAGAATAATAATATCAAGATAAACAACCATTTTATTTTGAAGAATATTTTGTCAAGCAAAATATGTGGTAGGAAGAATATTCCCCAAAAAGTTTTGCTTTTCCTAGGAAAAATTAGATAGCTTCTCTGTGTGTATAGCATATGTTTTGTGATATCATATGATGAAATGCCATTCCCAATTAAAGAGCAAACAAATATCAACAAAAATTAATAGGGGTGTTCAAGGCCGGCCTGTCCCGGTCGGCCCGTTCCGGTCCCGGTCTTATTGGGACGGGACGGATCCATCCCGAAATTTTTCGGGACGGGACAAAAAAGGGACCGGGACGGGACGGGACACGGGACGGGACGGGACACGGGACGGGGTCGTCCCGTCCCGGTCCCTTTAAAAATTTTTTTTAATTTTTTTAATTTTTTATATAATATCATTTTTTTATATTTTTTTAAGATTTAAGACTATTGTATGGAACTATGGATATATTTATTTAGAGTTTTTATATTTGTTAATGATTTGAGATTATTGATGATTAGAATTTTTAGCAAGTTTTTATTGTGTTAAAAGCTTTTGTTTAGAGTTTTTAATAACTATTATATGTAATATTTTGAGCTTTTGTTTAAGAGTGCCCAAACAAATAAAAAAGATGTTTTTATAAGATTTAAGCTCAAAAAAATATAATTTAAAAAATTAAAAAAAAATTACAAAAATTAAAAAAAATATTTCGGGACGTCCCGGTCCCGTCCCGTCCCGACCAGGACCGGGACAACCCCGGGACGGGCCAGGACACGGGACAGAAAATCTGTCCCGTTACTGTTCATCGGGACAGAACCGGGACGGGCCTGTCCCGGTCCCGATCCGTCCCGTGAACACCCCTAAAAATTAATCCACTTAATAATGAGTGGGCTCATGATCTACAAAATCGTGATTTCAAATTCTGCTGCTGATATAAAAACTTTATTGGTAGATAAAAGAAATATGAATATTTATGTAGATGCTCTCAACTCCCTTAAAATTTTTTTTTGGCACCTAAAAAAAGAAAAAGGAGGTTGTTTTCAGGCATGCAAGAGGGTCAAACTGTCCTCACATGCCTAGGCACCAATTTAACAGAAACCTCGTGAAGAACGCTTGAAGTAATTAATTCGTTGACATTCTTTTAGTATTTCTTCGGACCCAATTCCGGCCCAAAAAAAAAAAAGAAAAGGATTTTCGTCCCAATTATATCTTAATTTAATTGTTTGATTAGTAGTGCATGCTCCTTTTATAGAGAAATTAGACAATCCTAAGTAGTATCATATAGTTAAATAACTAGCTAGACGCTCAAAATTAGTTCAAGTAATGAGAATAATATGTGTGTGATCTTCGTTGGCAAAAAAAGGGTATGATATTCATTTGGTGGCCAAAAAATGAAGACATTTTTAAACTGTTCAAAATTAACTGAACAAAATGTGGCTGCTTAGTTTTTTAAAAGAGAGGTTTAAAATGAGTTGGCTTTCAAGTGCTGGGTAAAGTTTTAATGTTTAATATTGGGAGAATCCCACCTACTAAATTCCAAATAAAATATTTTGAGGGTGTTTGGATAGAAACTAAACCATGGTTTCAGAAGTGTTTTTACGATTTACAAAATAAATATGTGGAGGAGTTTGTCTCGTTTTACGAAAAAATATTTTTGAAATCATGGTTTTCATATTGCCAATATAAAAATGTGTCATTATGTATAGGTGAAGTGTTATCAAAACCTACTAAAATATGTCAACCAATTCAAAACTTCAGATTTCTGTTATGAATTCTTCCTTTAATATTTTGAGAGGTATTCATAACCATAAACGCTTTTGAATTCTCTCAGTAAAGTCGGCGGCCCTGAGATTTTAATCATTCACTAGGGGCATATTTTAATGATTTTTATAATGTTTTAAAAGGTTTTATAATTTTGAATAGTTTTGTGAGTAGTCGTGAACTGAACGACTCTTCTTGCACAGAGCACAGTGTCGCTTAATGCATAGATTTCAAGGCCAGGAAGCAGCAGCAGTGGGATTGACGGTGAAGAATGGAACGAAGTGAGGCGTCCCCTTTGCTTGCAAAGTGGCTATTGTATTTTTCCTTTTCAATTCATCGTTTCGAGATTCGAATCATCATGATTTTTAAAATCTATCAGCAGATTAAAGAGATCCTAGATCTCCAGATCCTTGTATCTGGGGGCCAAATTTAAGAAAAAACTGAAAGATATGCCATAAACATAGTATTTTCTTTTAAAGACGCAGAGATAAGTTAAATTTCACATCAATCAGCATAGAAAGAAATACTCCTCCGGTGCTTATTATAAGATTCAATTTAATTTTTTATTTGGTCCTAATTATAAGACCCAATTCATTTTGTCTCTTATATTTATGCATTTTTTTCCAAGATAATCCTTCTAATAATGATAGTTTTAGCCAATATACTTAATTAGCAAGAATATTTTAGGAATGACAACACTTATTTGTTATAAATAACCAACTTAACTTACTTCCTTAATCTCCTCAAAAAAGTTAATTGAGTCTTATAATTAGGACCGGAGGAGTATTAGTTTTTTTGGGTAAATATAATATTAGTTTTATAAGTATACAAGGTTAGGTTGGCTGTCACCAGCCATGTTGTTGTCACCTCGACATGCCTCATGCCAGCTTCCTCCTTCCCTGTCCACTGGTCCAAGACAGCCTCTGTGGCTTCGGCCTCCGTGTTTGGAGTTTGGTGTTTCTAATTCCTATTTAAAAAAAAAAAACAAAAAGAAGCCTCCATTTAACCAAAAAGAAAAACCAACCTCAGCGTCCAAAGACCAAACCAAATTTTCGCAATAAAGGTGGAAATAAAATTTTGATTCGGTAATGATCCTCAAAAATAGCTTTGTGGGGTCCACCTAAATGCGCTCTTTCCATCCCTGCCGCCATCCTTCCAGGAAAAGTCGGTTCCAAATTCTCCGTTTTCCGTCTGTGTTGCCTTACCCATCCCTTCTTCTTCGGTTTCCTCACCATCCCTTCCTTCTCTCTCTCTCCAATGCTCACCAACCTCTTTTCTCTCACCATTCCTTGCCCAAAGTTTTGAACTTTTCTTCGCCTACCCACTTCACCTTCCTCGGAATCATCGTATAAATCTTCCCACATTGTACACACCAACCACTTAAAAGCCCCCACCTCAACGACATCCTTTTTGAGCTTTCTTCTTCCCTGTTCATTAGGTGTGCACCTTCATCATGAACTCTGCAATTAGGTGTGCACCTTCTTCTTCTCTGAGCTTCTCTGCTTTCTCAAGTAGAAAGCCTTCTGTTGGAGCCACTCAATCTTTTTACACATTGCCCACAGCACAAAATGCTCGGCCCAGCGCAAATCTCTCTGTTTCTTCACATAAACCTCTTCACATCTTATCCACCGAGAATTTCTCATTGGTGGCAAAACCCAGAAACAGGGGTGTAGAGTGTGAGGCCTATGAGGCGGATAAGTCACGACCGTTGGAGATTAGTGTTGATGAAGAGGCTCGAGTTCAGGCGGCTCAGAGGCTCAAAATTAGTTTGTACTTTGCGACCTGGTGGGCTTTGAATGTGGTCTTCAACATATACAATAAGAAGGTTTTGAATGCTTTTCCTTATCCATGGCTCACTTCCACTCTATCATTGGCTGCTGGTTCACTCATGATGTTAATTTCATGGGCCACGAGAATTGCTGAAGCCCCGAAAGTCAATTTAGAGTTTTGGAAGGCCCTCTTCCCTGTAAGTTAACCTTGCTCAATTCTGCTGAGTTCTTCACAACATAGCAAACATGTTATGACTCTATGCAGACATTATGTCAACGTATATATTAGTTTTCCAGTGTAATTTACAGTGGTTTCATATTTGATGTGTACTGGATAAATTGGATGCAAGATTGTTTTATTTCTGTGGGGTTTGTATTTCATCCTGCCATTGAGACATAAGAAGATTTGAAGATTCTATATTAATAGATGCATAACAGGATGGGTCTCGGGTGAGGACTACAAAACTATGAGCAAAGGACGGACTGTTTTTGTTTGGTGTGGGTATGGTTAGTGTACCAATCTATTTATGGAATAATGGGAATCAAACAATAAGAATTGACATTAATATGGTAGGATCTCTCAAAATCATGTGCGGCAAACTTTGATTGGTGAGATTATACTAAGAATATCTGGCCAGGGATTGACTAATGATTAGGAGATGGGATAGGATTCGTTTTGATGATGTTTCTTATGATAATCACTGAAATAATTTGGTTCTGCAGGTTGCTGTGGCTCACACGATTGGGCATGTCGCCGCGACTGTGAGTATGTCAAAAGTTGCAGTTTCATTTACCCACATCATCAAGAGTGGAGAACCTGCTTTTAGTGTCCTGGTTTCAAGGTTCTTGCTTGGAGAATCATTCCCTATGCCAGTGTACCTATCACTTGTCCCAATTATTGGTGGTTGTGCTCTTGCTGCTGTGACAGAACTCAATTTTAATATGACTGGTAAGAGCATCTACTCTACTATAGTCACAATCAGGATCTTCTTTAGTATTAGAGACCACTGTAGTAAGGAGAGAATGAAAGGGTTCCGTTCACCTGACATGTTTGTGCTTAAACTCTACATATTTTTTCACGTTTTAGTGTTGATATTGGATCATATTCATTCTTATTATGTTCTCATAGTGGACAGTTTGGTTAGGAAGTGCAGGAAATCCACTAATTAGACAACTTTACATAATGTTTCAGGGTTTATGGGAGCTATGATATCAAATTTGGCATTTGTCTTCCGGAACATTTTCTCAAAGAAAGGGATGAAGGGGATGTCTGTTAGTGGAATGAACTACTATGCTTGTCTTTCTATGATGTCTCTGCTAATCCTCACGCCTTTTGCCATTGCTGTGGAGGGCCCACAAATGTGGGCTGCTGGCTGGCAAACTGCTATCTCTCAGATTGGTCCCAATTTTGTATGGTAAGTCCAACCTTCAATTCTTAATGCGTGTTTCTATGTTAATCAAGTAGCAAATTTCAGTGTTGGCCAACGTTAGATTTCAACTAATAAACTGGTTTGGAACAGGTGGGTGGCTGCCCAGAGTATCTTCTACCACTTGTACAACCAAGTATCTTATATGTCTCTTGATCAGATTTCCCCATTAACATTTAGTATAGGGAACACGATGAAGAGAATTTCAGTTATCGTCTCTTCCATTATCATCTTCCGCACGCCAGTCCAACCTGTCAATGCCCTTGGGGCAGCCATTGCCATTCTGGGCACCTTCTTCTATTCCCAGGTGCATTCTTGTCTCCTTTAACATCAAGGTTGAGTCTTTATTACCTTGAGAATTGAATCTCCCAAGGGCGACAAATATTTTTCGATCACTTTATACTTTTAAGTTCCCTTGCAGATAATCTAGGTAAACTAGAATTGCTTATACTATATAACAATAAGAAAACTAAAATCTTTCTTTTGATCCTGTGAGCAGGCTAAACAGTAAGAATTAGCTTCGGAGCAAGAGTGTTACAAGATTATGCGCCTCCATGTGACTAGTTTGGTCAGTCTATCTTTGGTAGACAGGGTTTACTTAAAGAATTTTTAAGATCATGTGCCACACCCGAGGAAGGATGAGTTATTAGTGAAGCCATAAGCGTCATTTATGTGAAAAACGAATGATGTTGTTGAGCGTGTGTTGTGGTCAATGGGACATGAGGCTGGTGTTCTTTAGTCCATAATTATGGCATTTGTAATCGAGATTTTGATGTGTTTGATTGATTTGAGTGTGCAGAGACTAGAGGAACCCCCCCCCCCCAAAACAAGTTATTTGATCATTGAAAAGTTTTTTAAATTTCTAGAATTTATTTAACTTAGGATGAGTCTCATGACTTAAAAATAGCATATACAGTATCAATATAAATACGAATATGAATTATTTGGTCATAAATTATTTGATATAAAAGCTAGTTAACTAATTTGAGTATATTAAAAAAAATTAGTTATAGTTATTTATAATAAACATGTATTGTCTTTTCTAAAATATCCATAATAAAGTATATTGGTTAAAAATATTATTATTACGAGAACTATCTTGAAAAAAATAAATAAATATAATAGATAAAGTAAATTAGAGTCTTATATTTATGATCAAAATAAAAGTCAAGTGAATTCTTATGTTAAGAATCGGATGTAGTTATAAATTAGCTTTTGGTAAGAAAGGAGATAGTTTGTGCAAAACTGATTTTTATAAAAATTAAGTACTCCCTCCGGTTCAAAATATAAGCTAAATTTTATCCATTATGTTTATCAAAAAACTAATTAAAATCAATTTAAAACAATAAATGTGTAAGGCATATATTTGTTTTTCCTAATATACTCTTATTAATGAAGAGAATAAGTAAAAGATGTAATAAATGAATTAAAGAGGAAAAAGAATATATTATATCTGAAGGTAAAATTAGAAAAAATTCATTAAATGCTTGGACAAAATTAAATGTTATCTTATAAAAAATTAATCCTTCTAAAAAAATTTAGCTTATGTTTTGAACCGAAGAGAGTAATTTTTATAGCATGCTAAGATTTTAAAAGAGCAAAATGTAATTATATCCCGCTGCAGAGCTTTATGAGCTCTTCCCACATGCCATAAATAAATGACCTAGGAAAATGAAAAATCTGAGAATAAAATGAGAGGCAGCTAATCAAGTTCTAAGAGATCTATAATTTCACGGAATCAAAAAATCTAAAGGAGAATGAGTCAATTTAAGTCCTTAACTTGAAAACATTTTCAGTTCTTTAATCGTAAAACTGTTTCAAAAAATAATATTATTAAAATATTAAATTTTGATAAAATATCATTATTTAGGACTAGTAATTTTAGAATTAAAGGACTAAAAATATACTTTTTTAAAAAAAGAAATTAAATTAAAATTTTATGTAAAGTTAAAAAACAAAATTTATATATTTTTGTCTACAATAAAAATAATAAGGTTAACATATGCTTATTTTTACTTTTTATGAAATAAGAATATTATAAGGTCAACTTTTGTCTATACCTTTCGAAAACGCAAGGTCAAGATAAAACTCTAATAACCTTATAGTCTGGTGGTATATAAGTTCCTTTTATAAGTAAAAAAATACAGGTTTAATTCCGCTTATAACCTCAAGCTGCTAATACAGCTGCCCTTTTACTTTTAAAAAATAAACATAAAACTGTTTGAAACTGTAACATGAAGTTTGATTCAGCGAAACTTTCAAACCAAACACCAAAGTTTCAAACCAAACACGAGTGATTATTGGAGAGGGGAGTGACGCAGACAGGAACATAAATTCAGAGATAATTCATTAATTCAAAAAAATTTAAATAAACTGATTAATATAAGGAAAAATTACTCATAGATTTCAAGTAAAAAAACTAAATACAAATTTTTTTTTCTAAAAGTTCATATTTACAATTTATATTTATAAATCAAATTTTCATATTTACAAGTGGAGTTATGTCATTCATCAATTAACTTATAAAACTTGTATTTTAAAAAAATTTATCTGTATTTATTTTTTTAAAAATATTTTTCATAATATAAAGGTCTTTCCGTGGGGAGAAAAAAGTTTGACCGTCTCCCTAACACATATAAATGAGGCCCAAGTTTGAAAGAAATGGAATGGGGAGATAATGGAGGGGCCTTGGATTAAGAAAGCTCTATTATTGCAGATAATACTGTGGCTGCTTCACCTACCGAACTTCTTAGCTGCTTCTGGTGCATCTACCTTCCCCCCTGATTTCCTTTTCGGCACTGCTTCTTCTTCTTACCAGGTTCTTGCTACTCCTTCCTCCTCCTCCTCCTCCTCCTCCTCCTCCTCCTCATCCTCAATAACTGAAATTCATTTGATCTGGTTCTTTCATTTAACAATGGTGGCATATAGTATGAAGGCGCGTACTTGGATGATGGCAAAGGACTTAACAACTGGGATGTCTTCACTCACCTTCTCCCAGGTCAATTATGATTTCATTTAACTCTCCTCTCACTCTACTTTCCCTTCCTTTATTTCGCCTTTCACTTGCCTTTCGTTTATCATCATCATCATCTTCTTCTTCTTCTTTTATTTGGCTTCATTTCGGTATGATCTTTAAGAATTTAGATTAGAGTAGATAATTATCTGCTGTTAGTTGCAGGAAGGATAAGCGATGGAAGCAATGCTGATGTCACTGTTGATCAATACCATCGCTATCTGGTAGCTGATTGGTTCTTTTTTATACATATAATATATCTTTCTTTTCCAGGACGTAATTATAATTTGGTAGAATTCAAATTCTAAAACTGTTAGTGTTAAGAGTTGAAACTTTTTTTTACCCTTTTTACTGAGGATAAATTAAAAACAGGACGATGTAGATTTGATGGAAGATATCAAAATCAACAGCTACAGGTTTTCCATTTCATGGGCGAGAATATTACCGAGTATGCTTCTCTGCTCTTACATACTTCAGGGGGAAGGCCCAAAAAAAAACTATTCCTAGCTTTCTTTGCTGTGCATTAACCATAATGAATCTCAGAAACATACTTTTATTTTCATTATTGAGAACAGAAGGAAGATTTGGTCAAGTGAACTTGCCAGGTATCAACTATTACAACAATCTCATCGATGCTCTCCTACTTAAAGGTTTGAATTTCTTCTCAATTTCCCTCTCCTTCCTTTAATTATAACTACACATAATATAATCAGTCCATTTCTCTGACCTTGCCTTATTCTCCAAACTTTTCTGAGTAATCACAGGGATTCAGCCATTTGTTACTGTGTCACACTTGGACTACCCTCAAGAACTTGAGGACAGATATGGAGGTTGGCTTAGTCCCCACTCCCAGTAAGTCAGCCATAATATGGGATTGTGGTTTTTGTCATTTTCTCATATTGGTCACTGCTAAGAGCTAACATAGTATTCTGAGTTTTTGACGTTATCGCAGGGAAGATTTTCAGTACTTTGCAGAAGTTTGTTTTAGATCGTTTGGGGACAGAGTTAAGTACTGGGTTACTTTCAATGAGCCAAATCTTTGGGTCCCACTTGGTTATCGCAAAGGAAAGTTCCCACCAAATCGTTGTTCTGTCCCGTTTGGGAATTGCAGTGAAGGAGATTCAGAGAAAGAACCTTATGTTGCTGCCCATAATATCATACTATCACATGCTGCTGCAGTACATATTTATAGAACCAAATACCAGGTACTAAATGCAAGGTTGTCACTGAAACACAAATTGATCTGACATGGTTTCCAATATCAGTCTTTCAAATACAAATATCTAGAATGTATTGTCCGAACAGACATAGAAGTAAGGATACTAGGTTTACACATCAAGGACACATAGGTCCTGAGTCAAAGGAAGATTAACTGTGTTATTAACGGCATATGCAGAAGGAGCAAGGAGGGCAAATCGGCTTTGTGTTACACTGTGACTGGTTTGAGCCCTTCAGCAATTCCGAAGTAGACAAATTGGTTGCTGAAAGAGCACTATTATTCACAATAAATTGGTAAAGCTCCCCACAATTGATTGTTTTTGTTTGCCTATAGAACACACAAAAGGCACAATGTGTAAATGAATGCAGGTTCTTGGACCCTATTCTTTATGGAAAATACCCAGAAGAGATGGAGAAGGAACTGGGAACCACATTACCCAGATTTTCCCGGGAAGACACAGAGAAACTAAAGAATGGATTGGATTTCATTGGAATCAATCATTATGCAAGTTACTATGCCCGAGACTGCATCTCTTCAATTTGTAAACCTGGGGAAGGAGGCTCAAGATCAGAAGGTTCATATTCACGAACTGCACAAAGAAATGGTGTCCCCATAGGAGAACTTGTGAGTGCACAAATTCTCCTCGGAAATTTGATTGTTTTAATCTAAGAATACCTTTAATTATCTGCATAAATTTGTTTTTTTCCTTGTCGTTAGCAAGCCATTTCTGAAGTTCCGTCATCATAATACAGACACCGTTTGAATGGTTAAATGTTTATCCACAAGGCATGGAGAAGATGCTTAACTATTTCAAAGGCAGATATAATAACCTTCCAATCATCATTACAGAAAATGGTAAGAAGAAACTCAGCAAGTTCTTCAATCGACTTTTCTCTGCATTTTTGACCATCCAAGCGTTTTGTAGGGTATGGAGAACTGAAGGATCCAAGTAAAACCCGAGAAGAATATATCAATGATGTTACAAGAATTAAATACATGGAGGGTCACTTGAACTATGTTTTGGCAGCAATAAGGTAAGAACGCATAATTGATGTCTGGACCACTCAAGCATATATATATATATATATATATATATATATATATATAGAAATGCAAATAAGACTCTGTAAAATTATTTTAACAGGAAAGGAGCAGACGTGAGAGGTTACTTTGCGTGGTCCTTGTTGGACAACTTCGAGTGGTCATATGGATTTGAAGTGGAATTTGGGCTGTACCATGTTGATTTTGCCACATTGAAGAGAACTCCAAGACTATCTTCAATTTGGTACAAGCAATTCATCTCAGAGCATAAGGGACACAGCATTGTGCAGGAAAATAATAGAGAAAAGAGGGAGTTCGAGGACAACACCAAAATCAGAAAGCTAGAGCCAGAGCCCCTTAAGCTAAGCTTTGAGTAAACTAAGTCATATTAGTCAATGCCCCTATCTCCAAGAACAGCAGAAAGATTTCTCATTATTATTCGCAAGGATTAGTTTAATTCTTGGATATGTCCATTGTAAACGGGAAATACTTAAAATATTTCCATCTTCAAGCTATGTACATACACACTAGATAATGGATGAGTTATGATTGAATCTATAAGCGTCATTTACATGAAAGAGGAATGATGTTACCGAGCTAGCATGTGCTGTGGTCGACAGGATATGGGGAATCAACTAAATTTAAATGTAATTAATTAGAACAAGGGTTAAAACATAAAGAACGATATGATATGGCCAGCCACCGAAATTCTATGACTGGTAAGGGCATCATTGTCGTTTTACCCAAAAAATTTAAGTTCATTTTGTTCTAAAGAGTGAGCCACCGGGGACAGCAGCAGCAAAAGACAAGAACTAGGAGATATAAGAAAACAAATTAGAATAAAATATTAAAGAGCAGTCACATTCACATGATGAAGTTCTCTTCTAGGAATAAGTTAATTAGAATAATTAATGTAATATGTTTGTAGATATAAGTAAATTGGGGAGGTGGAGCAGTGGAAATAATTATATGAAGTGGGGTGAGAAAGCTGTGTTATTATTAATGTTGCTTCATCTTCATCCTCCTCTCACTGCTTCTGATTCAGATCATGGATCTACCTTCCCCTCCCATTTTCTCTTTGGCGCTGCTTCTTCTTCTTACCGGGTCCTTCCTCCTCCTCCTCCTCCTTCTTAAAAATTGAGTAAAATGTGAGTGAAGGCGTGCCTTTTCACGTCATGCATGGTTTTTACCATTTTATCTCACATTTTTTTAAGGTAGAAGGATTTACTCCCTCAATAGCTTTACCACGATATTTTGTTTTTGTTTTGTAAAATATGATTCCTAGATTTGCACAAGCGGCTGAATAAATTAATAAAATTTTAACAAAATTTTTTCTCCCCTTTAGTAGACAAGGACTTGTTTCTTTTGCGTCTAGTTTTGGAATAACTAAGAATATTCCAAATGTATCATCTTATCTTCTATGGCAAAACCATACCATATACACAAAGTAGGCTATGGCCTATGGGAGTGTCAAGTGTCGTAATACGCATTTTAAACAGAGTCACATTAGTTATCATTTATGAATACTATACTTTTTAGTTAATTTTTTTAAAATTAACAGCGTAAGGATTCATTAACTTTTCTCTAGTTAGCTATTCCTTTATTATTTTTTTATTTTAGAGGTAATTTTACTAGTTTTTGATTGTGATATAATTCAAATTCTAAAACTACAGGAAACTTGCTCACTGTGCATAAAAACAGGAGGATAGAGACTTGATGGCAGATATCAAAATTGACAGTTATAAGTTTTCAATTTCATGGGCAAGAATATTTCCAAGTATGCTCTTCTCTGCTCTAACAAATTTCAGACAACTATTTCTAGCTAATATAGATGCATATGAACTATAGTGAACTCAGCAGGTTTTTCTTTGGATATGTTTGAGAACAGAAGGAAGATTTGGTGAAGTGAACTTGGCAGGTATTAACTACTACAGCAATCTCATCAATGCTCTCCTTTTCAAAGGTCTAATTTTCATCTCAATTTCCCTCTCATTCCTTTAATTATAGCTTCATTATATAATCCGGCCTTGTCTTGTTCTTCAAACCTCGCTAATCAATCACAGGGATCCAGCCATTCGTAACATTGTCACAATTTGACTTCCCTCAAGAACTTGAGGACAGATATGGAGGTTGGCTTAGTCCCCCATCCCAGTAAGTCAGCGTTCTTCAAAACTATTTGATGTGAGAGAAAAAAAAAATGCGTAAAGAACCAACTTTAGAATCAATCTGAATGGCATATCAAGCACTAACATAGCATTCTGATTTATTTTTTCTGACATTATTGCACGGAAGATTTTCAGCACTATGCAGAAGTGTGTTTTAGATCGTTTGGGGACAGAGTGAAGTATTGGGTGACCTTCAATGAGCCAAATCTTTCAGTAACATTTGGTTATGTCAGAGGAAAGTTCCCACCAAATCGTTGCTCTGTCCCATTTGGGAATTGCAGTGGAGGAGATTCAGAGAAGAAGCCCTTTGTGGCTGCCCATAATATCATCCTATCTCATGCTGCTGCAGTACACATTTATAGAACCAAGTACCAGGTGATCAATCACTAATGGCATATCAAAGACCCAAAGGTCCCAATTCAAAGTAAAAAAGTCTGCATATTTTTTAATGGCATGTGCAGAATGAACAAGGAGGGAAAATAGGCTCTGTGTTACCCTGTTTCTGGTTTGAGCCATTCAGTAATTCTACAGCAGACAAACTGGCTGCTGAAAGAGCACTATCATTCACTATAAATTGGTAAACTTTAGCACAACCAATTGTTTTCGTCTGTTCATAGAACTCAGAAAGGCAAAATGTTTGACACGTTTTATAATGTGTAAATCCTTAACTACTCTGCTATGCAGGTTCTTGGACCCTATTCTTTTTGGAACATACCCAGAAGAGATGGAAAATGCACTGGGAATGACATTGCCCAGATTTTTCCGGAATGATAAAGAGAAACTGAAGAATGGATTGGACTCCATTGGATCAATCACAACGCAAGTTACGATGCCCGAGACGGCATCTCTTCACTTTGTAAACCTGGAGAAGCAGGCTCAAGATCAGAAGGTTTATATTCGCAAACTGCACAGAAAAATGGTTTTGCCCGCGGGAGAACTTGTAAGCATTCGGTTCTCTTAGGAAAAATTGACTGTTTTATCTCAGAACCTCTTTAGTTTTCTGCCCAATTTTTTTCTTTGTTTTTTTTGGTTGTCATGTCCAAGCCGTTTCCTAAGCTTCTGATATTATAGATACAGACACCTGTTGAATGGTTAAATTTTTATCCACAAGGCACGGAGAAAATTATTACCTATGTCAAATGCAATAACAGACCAATCATCATTACAGAAAACGGTAAACAAAACTCAGTAGGTTCTTCAGTCAACTTTCTGTGCCTTTTTGACTATAAAAACTCGTAGGGTATGGAGAATTGAACGGTCCTAGTAACACCCAGGAAGAATATCTCAATGATATTTCAAGAATCAAATACATGGAGGGTCACTTGAACTATGTTTTGGCAGCAATAAGGTAAGAACACATGAAATGAAATTTGATGTCTAGACCACTGAACCATATAAATATTGACACACACACAACAAATAAGACTTTTTTTTAAAATTATATATCAGGAAAGGAGCAGATGTGAGAGGTTACTTTGCGTGGTCCTTGTTAGACAACTTCGAATGGTTATCTGAGTTTGAAGTGAAATTTGGACTGTACCATGTTGATTTTACCACACTGACGAGAACTCCAAAACTATCAGCGAATTGGTACAAGCAATTCATTTCAAGGCATAAAGCACACAGCATTGTGCAGGAAAATAATAGACAAAAGAGAGAATTCAAGGACAACACCAAAATCAGAAGGCCCGAGCCAGAGCACTTTAAGCTAAGCTTTTAGTTTTGAGTAATTTGTTCATATTGGTCAGTGCCCCTTTCTCCAAGGACACTAGAAAATGTTAGCTCTCTGAAGATTCATAGATATACTCATGTGGAGTCCGTTAAAACTTTTGTAAACTAAGGCTACTTGATGGACAATTCACATTTTGTCATGTCTCTATGCATATGTTAGTGGCCATGTTTCTAGATATGGGTGTGACGCTTGGCGGTGATGCTTAACAAAGACATGTAAGCTCAATGAATTTCCCTCTTTTCAACTTGCATGACAATTTCTTCAATTTCATTAACCGTCTATACCTTGTTTTAATTTCTGTTGCACACAGCATTACACATCCTTTTTCTTCAAAATCCTCATCTTTTCTCTCTTGAACTTTTCCCAAAATCCATCAAAACCCACAGACTCTAAGCAACAATGTTCAACATATTACTAATACAAATTTGGTATCAGAACTTTATGCTCGAATGATTACATATTTAGATGATACTCCTTCGGTCCTAAATATAAGACCCTTATACACGTGTGTACAAGGCTCTTATATTTAGGATCGGAGAAGTATATTGAAAAGTCAATTTCAAAAGGTTCAAATGTGAAGAAAAGTTAAAAGCCAAAAAACAGAAAAAGCTTATTCAACTTTAAAGTGATTTTTGGACAAAAAGTCAGTTGCCTCCGAAACCAAGCCAAACATCACTATTGTTTAATATAAACATTAAACAAACAAACAATCCGCTGCCTTTGTAACCCTAGTTCATTATTCTTGTATGTTTAGTAGATTAATTTTAAAGTTATTTTCATGAATAAGTTCCGAGGCGTCTCTCCTTGGTGAGTCAATAACCATCACTATGCAGTGCATGGGGAAATTGGCGGAAGTAGTTGAGGGGATATTGCAATTGGTCAGATCTCTCCTTAATCATTCTATCCATTTTGTGATCTAATTTCCAATATCTCATTTCTCTTTCGAACGAATCCATTTTGTTACATATGTACAATTTATTCGCTAAACTGCCACTATAAGAAGTGATCATAACATACAATAAATCGACATGAAAAATAGGGCTGATGGAAATCAGCCAATTAATATAGATGATTCACTGGCCAGTAATACTGTACTGTCAAAAGAAAAATATAAAATATTAATCATCAATACATTTTACAAAAAAATATTTAATGCACTGTTGGCAAAAGGGGCCCATTGTTCAAACCACACTATAGGCCTATTTGGAATAACTTATAAATAGCTTTTTAATAGTAATTTAACCAGCGCGCGCTGTCACAATGGTAAGAAGTTGTGTCCCTTAACCATCACCTCTGGGGTTTGATTTCTGAAGAGATGGGAATGGAGCAAGCGTGCCTGGGAGGGTCACCCCTATCTTGACTCGACAATACCAAAGGATTAGTCATTGGGCTCGCTCTGATGATACCCTGGTGAAAACAAAAAAAAAGTAATTTACAGAATATGAAGCAAATATGTGATAAGAGTTTTACGTGAAACGTGCTTACTACCATATCCCAAACAGGCACATAATTGGCCATTGACTTAACGTTCAGACAACACATATCAGAATCCACTATGTGTGTGTGTATAAATTTGGTAAACCTGTGATTGTGTCATTTTTATGCTATTGATCCGGTTCAAGTCATTTTCGAACAGAGTTTTAAGCTTTTTTCCCCCCTTAATTTATTTTTTTCATGATTTTATTAACATCTTAACGTATACGTATAATAATTGCAAGGACTTAATAATATTGTCGTTGTGGATTGGAAAAAATCTGAGATTTGATTTTAATATTTCGTCCATCTTACGCTAGTTTGCTGTAAAATGCCGGCATTGACTTTATTTGTGAGCCTAGTAGGAGTCTTGCTTCTCGTATAAGTTTAATTCAGATTTGAGTAAAATATAATAATTCTTTTACATGTCATCTACTTTTTAAACGTACACTTCAGTTCAACTTTTAATAACACCCTTAAAAACATTTCGTTAAAGATTTTATGATACTTTATTTTTAAAGGTAAAATTTTGATGTGGCTCCGTCGCTCTGCAGCAGACACTTACGCTCCCTCATAAACAAAGTCTTTTTATTTTTTATTTTTTTACCAACCTCTTTAATATTGTTAATACACGCACGAGATAAAATTCATAACAAAATATTCTTTCAATCCTAAATATAAAATCTTTATATTAATATGTATAAAAGTTTTATATTTAGGATTAGGAGGAGTATGTTAGAAAACAAGCGTAATTTATAAGAACCTGAACCAAATTCTGTAAATTGAGATTAGCCTTCGCATGTTGAGACTGAGCTTATTATACAAGAGAGCTTCGATATACTTTTCCTGTGAACTGACTTGCCTTTTGTTTCAAGGCTCTTAAATGAAATACTCATCTTGTCCTTAACATAAGACATAATTTGATATTTAATGTTAGTCTTATATGTAAGATTTATTTTACATGTTTATCAATTTTTTCTAGATTAATCCTATTGACATTTTCTCAACAATAATTAAGTAGGAGAGGAATGAGAGAATTAAAAAAGATGGTTAGGACGTTTTAGAAAAAACATACTACCTCCGGTCCTAAATATAAGAACTAGTTGACTAATTTGAGTAAATTAAAAAAATATGTTGAGTTAGTTATTTGTAATAAATAGATGTTGTCTTTTTTAAAATATCTTTGCTAATCAAGTTTATTGGCCAGAACTATCATTATTAGAAGGACTATCTTGAAAAAAAAAATATGAGAGACAAAATAGATTGGAATTTTATATTCAGGATCAAAATAAAAGTCAAATGAAGTCTTATATTAAGGACCGGAGGTAGTATCATATTAACTAACTTAACTAATATTCTTAATCTACTTAAATTAATTAATTAGATCTTATATTAAGAATCAGAAAAGTATATTATTATAAAGCCAATAATTGTAAATTTGATATCTCGGTTTTGATAAGTTGGGGAAGTTGAGGCCAAACAAAAAACAGCACAAATTGGAAAACTGAAATAAACATGATCTCATGGAAGATCTGTCCTCTACCCCACCAGAAAAAAAATAATGTGATATGATGATATCATTTGCACGCAACAACGAAGCCCTCTAATTGTCTTATCAGTTGAGAAAAAGCTATAAAAATAGAATTGTGCTGCGCTGCGCCTAGAGCAAAATAATTAAGCACAGCCTTGTATTGTTGTGCACCTACCAAGAAGACGAAGAAGAAGAAGAAGGGTCTTAATGGGGATCTGGAAAATGTGGGAGAGAAGAGTGTTTGTGGTGATGATAGTATTAGTTTCTCAGCTTTCATCAAATGACCATTTTGCAATATTGGCTCTTCCCACTCTTCCTTCTTCTTCTTTGCCCACCAACTTTCTCTTTGGCACTGCTTCTTCTTCTTACCAGGTTTCTTCTTCCTGAACAAGCTTCTGCATGTTGAATTTGAAGTTTTCAATATATTAAATCCTGCAAATCTGCTCTTTTGTAATATTTTTTTACTTTGTCTTATCGTTTAACAGTATGAGGGAGCATACTTGAGTGATGGCAAGGGACTGAGCAACTGGGATGTCTTCTCTCACACACCAGGTCAGCTCACATCAAATTTAAACTTACAGTACTCAGTACTTATTCTGATATAGGTTAGTTGCAACTCCATGCGTCCTTCTGAGTTTCATCACAGCTTGATACTAACTTAATGGATGCTGCAAAACTAGTGTTATCAACAAAGCCTAATTAAATAAAGAATTCAATCTTCAAAGACTAGCTCACTATCAGGTGAGAAGGTTTCTTGAACTTGTAAAGCACATTTTACTTGTGAGGCCGCTCAATATGAAACTCACAAGGTGTTAATTTTATATACACGAGTTTAAAGAGAGAGTCCAATTCTAAAAAACTAATAAGAGTTACGTGAAAGAGCCTTTTGAATTTATAAGTCACACTTCATTTGTGAGGGCTCATCAATATGACGAGCTGAATATAAGTCCAAAAAAAAAAAAAAAAACAATCCCAGAATATTATTAACCGTTGGGTAGAAAAAATTTCTTAAACTTACAAAGCACACTTCACCTATGAGGGTTCCTAATGCAGACAGCCTTGTAACACAACGTTGTATATTCTCATTATTACAATTTGCTGATTTTGTTCAAAGACGTCAAAACTTTCCCTTATTGTTGAAGCTTCCACTTTTTTATTAGATTATTTAATTATTTAATTATCAATGATTGCAGGCAAAATAATTGATGCCAGCAATGGGGATGTTGCGGTTGACCACTATCATCGCTGCCTGGTACATATGATTAACTGTTCAACCCATAAATTTGTGTAACAATGCTTGATTCCTATGTCCTACATCTACCTGCCCTCCAGTCTCATGCACGATTTTTTCCCTTTAATTAAAATCAGAGATATATAATTAATATTCTCCAATTATTTTGCAGGTAAATCATATCCAATTATTTATCATAACTAGAGATCTGCTTTTTCTTAATTCTTTTTTTCTTCTAGAGACATCGGAATCCCATCTAATATATTTGTCATACTTTTGGTTAAAAAAATAGACTAAAATACATTTAGTCCTTTAACTTTATATAAGGTTTCAATTTGGTTCATTAACTTTAAAAAGCTCACATTTGGTCCTTTAACCATAAAATCATTAGGTTCAATGATGATTTTTTTTTAACTATCATGAATATTTTAAAAATTAAACTTAATATATTAGCATTTAAGAATATTTTATCAACATTTAAGCTCTTAATTTATCATTTTAAAAAAAATTTAGGGTTAAAAGACTAAAAGTACACTTTTTAAAGTTAAGGACCAAATTGAAACCTTATACAAAATTATACGACCAAATGTATCATTTAGCCAAAAAAATTTGTCATACTGGTATCTCTAGAAAGAAACAATATATATAAACTAGTGATATATAACGGGTTCCAACTTGCTACTTAACAAAACAAGGAAGGGCCCACTGGAATTTAATTTTATTAATTAAATGTCCAAAATTTATTTAATCAACAGGAAGATATTGAGCTGATGGATGCAATCAAAGTCAACAGCTATCGATTCTCTATCTCTTGGGCAAGAATTTTACCAAGTATGCTTCTCTAATCTGTTCAACTGAGACAGCACAATTTAGCAACAACCAAAAGAGTAATTAAACGAAAATTAGCAGAAAAGGAGGTTATTAAATGAAATAAATAATCCAAAGGTTTTGAACAGAAGGGAGATTCGGAGAGATCAACTTGGCTGGCATCGAATTCTACAACAGACTAATAGATGCTCTTCTGCTCAAAGGTTTAGTTTCAATCTTTATTTATTTTCTTTTCAAAGAGAAAAATCTGTGAATGTATCAATAAAGAAGGCAAATTGGTCTATTTTCTTCACATGTGTTTGCATGTTTGGAGTATTAAACTTACAGGAATCCAACCCTTTGTGACTCTCACTCACTTTGACATACCTCAAGAACTGGAGGACAAGTATGGAGGTTGGCTTAGTCCCCAATCACAGTGAGCAATTTAGCTTCTTTTTAAAAAAAAAAAAAAAAAGAAGAGATTTTTAATGGAACTTAAGTTTAAATCAAGTTCATGAGGATCATATTTTGTTTGATGAGCAGGGAAGATTTTGCATTTTATGCAGAAGTTTGTTTCAAATGGTTCGGAGACAGAGTAAAGTATTGGACTACCTTCAATGAGCCAAATGTGCAAGTGACATATGGTTATCGAAAAGGAGAGTTTCCCCCAAGTCGATGTTCTAAACCATTTGGGGATTGCATTGAAGGAGACTCAGAATCTGAGCCCTTCATGGCAGCCCATAACATTATCCTCTCCCATGCTGCTGCTGTTGAAATCTATAGAACCAAGTACCAGGTAATTATCCTAGGACTACATTCTTAACAAGGTTACCACTTGAGTTCGGTTGATAAAGGAATAAAGAAGAAGAAATTTTGCTGTAATAATAACTGTGTTTTTGGATGAATCATCCAGAGAGAACAAAAGGGGAGAATTGGCATAGTCTTACAAGCTATATGGTATGAACCTATCAGCAATTCTACAGCAGACAAAATGGCTAGTGAAAGAGCACTATCATTCTCTTTAAATTGGTATAGTTATTTATCCTCTTTCATTTTGTGCTTGCAGACCCATAAAGCAGAAATCATAGACAGTTTATTTTAATGCAGGTTCTTGGACCCCATCATCTTTGGAAAGTACCCCACTGAGATGCAGAAGATTCTAGGGACCATATTGCCCAAATTTTCCACCATTGAAATGGTGAAACTCCAAAAAGGATTGGACTTTATTGGCATCAATTACTATTCCAGTTACTATGTCCAAGACTGCATTTACTCAAAATGTGAATCAGGAGAAGGGATCACCAGAACAGAGGGGTTATACCTGAGAAGTAAAGAGAAAAATGGTGTGCCCATTGGAGAACCTGTAAGTAGCCTCAACTATATAAGTATGCTTTTTACTTTCCCCTTCAAGAGATTATTTTTAGATGGACCAAACCCATTAAAAATGTCGATTCATAATCGATTAGTGTCTTCCTTTCTATCAAATTCTGAAGAACCTGCAATTGCAGACCCCAATTGGTTGGTGTGTTTACCCACAAGGCATGGAAAAAGTGATCACTCATGTAAAAGACAGATACAACAATATTCCAATGTTCATTACAGAAAATGGTAAGGAAAACTCAGTATCTTCTTAATTTAATCCAGCTTCAGTGCATTGTTCTTACAAACCAAACCATTTTGTAGGGTATGGTGAGACGGATAATCCAAATGCCACCTTGGAAGAACATATTAGTGACGTTCAAAGAATGAAGTACATGGAAAGTCACTTGAATACCCTGCTATCAGCAATAAGGTAAGAATATTAAATAAACAGAAGCAGCACACATTTGCATGGCCTTTTATGGTTCAATATATTTTGCCATTTCATTTACTATAAATTTGTCTCCCCTAATGAATCACTGGAGAATAAATCACAAAATCAAGATCATTTTTTTATCATTTGCTTTTCTCAATCAGGAAAGGAGCTGATGTGAGAGGGTATTTTGCCTGGTCGTTGCTTGATAACTTTGAGTGGGCATATGGATATACAAGAAGATTTGGTCTATACTATGTTGATTATTCTACTCTGAATAGAACTCAGAAACTATCAGCAAGTTGGTATAAGCAATTCATCACAAGGCATAAAACAGAGGCTTTGAGGCCAAAACATGAGAAGAAGCAGGAAAACCAGCACAGACAATTCAACACAAATGCCAAAGTTAAATCGTTTATACCAAACACCAATCAGATTCTCTTCAATAATTTGTGACTTTTGCTCAGTACTTCCATCTCAAAGCAGAATCCATGAACTTCAGTTTCTCTCCATAAACTTGTATTTAAATTCTGGAATCGCCTCTGCTCCGTCTATTTAATTCTGAAGTAATTTATACTACAAGGTACAGAAGCGTATGATACTACACTTTACATCCTCTAATTGTCTTCTTTTCGTTTATTTTCTTGAATCTAGCAATAGACAATCTTCAAGGAATTCTTAGGTCGTTACTTAAATATATTATAAAAAAATATTAGTATAAATATCTCATACTCGTGCACAACTTTTCCTAACTCATTGGCTTTACTTTTGTTTGAAGGCTCTTGAAAATAAAATGCATTATATGCGCATCAAAGTATTTATGTCCTGCCTTATCCAAAAAAAAAAAAAGTATACATGTCCCAAATCATGTTTTAACTTAGAAATACATTTAATTAATTAAACATGTAAGCTAGAAAATAATTACATTTAGTACCTGATAGTACTTCAAATAGATAATATATGTACTTATTAAAAAAATTAATTAAGCATGTCTGCATCAAAATTCAAAATAATAAGTTGAAAGAATGCACAAAAAATAAATTATTTCAATTGAAAAGATACAAAAAGTAAATAATTTTTTTGCTGCACCACCATCAAATCATGAATAAAAAAGTTATAGTTAAATAATATATATTTAAATTTTTATATAAACTATTTATTTCATACAACGGGCAAGAACAAAACAAAATTTTTTTTTTTTAAAAAAAAGAACCCTTTTCTCTCCATTTCTCTCTCAACTAAATCTATAAGTAGCGGCTCCAAAATGACAAGATCACAGGGGGCATCATGCTAATGCATTATTCATACACTATTGGTTTTCCAATGATTTCAGGGGCTGCACCTGCTTGCGTTGGTCCATTTTGTGTCAGATGCTTTGATAGACAGGATGACCGAAATTTAATATCCATTACTTTATTTTATTTTTTTAAGAAAATGGACAGGATGACAGAAATTTTATTACATTACAAAAGTACAGTTCAATTATTTAAATAATTAAGAATGTAAAATTGAGGCCAAGGTTTAAAAAATAGGAACGCAGAAATTATTTTAAGAGAGCCCGACAATTAAGAATTAGGTAAGAAAATTAATGTAAAATAATAATTTTTGTGTAATTGAAATTTCAAAATTTACAACTTAAATAATTTATATTTACAATTTAAAGATTCTCATTAAAATTTTTTGATAAAAAGTACTTTTTGAAAATTTTATTAGTTAAAAGGGTCTAAATTTAAATAAGTGTAACTTTTTTCAACTACGTGCAACATATCTTCAATTATATGTAAGAATCATTAAAAGTAATTATTTACATATAGTTGAAAATATATTGAATATAGTTGAAGAAAAGTTACATTCACTCAAATTCAGTTTTTTTTAATTAATAAAATTTTCAATCAAATACTTTTTACCAATGTTCCCTTCTCATTAACATTAATCTCTGTACAAGATATTTAATTATTATTATTATTCTCCATTGTTTCGATCAAACCTGACAAAAGATAATATTCTCCATGAAGATCTCTACCCTTTTGGGCAAAACAAATGGATATCTCCTCCCTAAACCCTCTCTCCTCTTGATACTTAATAAGCCATAAAGCTCTCCTTTGCTACGTGTAACACACACACACAGAGGAACAAAGCAACCATTGTTGGTCACGAGAAGAAGAAAAAGAAGAAGGCATTAATAATGGGGTTGGTCTGGGAATTGCAGAAAAGAGTGATTCTGCAGATACTGTTGCTTCTTCTAATGCTCTCTTCAAATGACAAAGCAATGATATTAACAGCTCTTTCCACTGATCATTCTCGTCATAATTTCCCCACCCACTTCCTCTTTGGCACTGCTTCCTCTTCTTACCAGGCTCCTTCCTCTCTCACTCAAATCCTTAACTCTACTGCGTGCGTTTCTTATGACATTTTGTTTTCTTGGTTAATAGTATGAAGGAGCATACTTAAGTGATGGCAAAGGACTAAGCAACTGGGATGTTTTCTCTCACATTCCAGGTCAGCTCTCATCAAACTTACAGCTCAAAACAAACACTACATATATGATTCTTACACTCCAATGTATATAAACCTCAATAAGCAGTAGTACTTCTTATGTGCCTGGAAAACTGGAAACTTCTCTTCTCACAATTACAATTTGCTTACTTTCTGATCCTAAGCTTTCCCTTATCATTCAAGCTTTCAATACTTTTTATTATTATAAGTTACATTATTTCAATTCGCAATTATTGCAGGCAAAATTATTGATGCAAGCAATGGGGACATTATATTGCTGTTGACCATTATCATCGCTACCGGGTATCCTCTATATACATGCACATTAACTGTTCAACCCAACTAGTTTTACTTCTAGAGGCATTCAATGGAATTTAATTTTGCTATTAAACGTCCCAAATTTCTTTCAAGTGAGTCAAATTAACTGGAAGATATTGAGCTGATGGATGCAATCAAAGTCAATAGCTATCGATTCTCTCTCTCCTGGGCAAGAATTTTACCAAGTATGCTTCCCCGTTGTATGAATATCAGTTCAATTGACATTATCTCAGTATTTAAAATATCATTTAATTTTTATTATCTAAAATGTTGCATATGAATTTACATCATGTTGGGGGAAAAAATTAATTTTACCCCTACCATTATTCTGATAGGACGCTATCTTAGTACTCTGAACAGAACAAACTCCTGGATATTGTGGGGCAAACTCATTGCAGGGATAAAGATAATTATTTTTATACAGGTGATTGAATTGAGTAGATGTGAACTTTGCACTATTACGATATTAAGATAGCACAATTTAGCAACCAACTGAATAGAGCAATTAATCCAAAACTAGCAGAAAAGGAGGCTTTAAATGAAACAAATAATTTAGTCTGAGTCTTGAACTCTAGCAGCTGCATGTAAAATTTACATGCTAATTAATTTATGTATGAATTTGAACAGAAGGGAGATTTGGAGAGGTCAACATGGCTGGCATCGACTTCTACAACAGAGTAATAGATGCTCTTCTGCTTAAAGGCTTGATTTCAATCTTTAATTATTTTCTTTTTAAAGAGCAGAAGCTATGAATGTGTCAATAAAGAAGCCAAATGGGTTCATTTCCTTGACATTGATTGTTTGGAATGTTAAACTTACAGGAATCCAACCCTCTGTGACTCTGAATCACTTTGACTTGCCTCAAGAGCTGGAAAACAAATATGGAGGTTGGCTTAGTCCCCAATCACAGTGAGCAATTTAGTGTTTCTTTTGAGAGATTCTTAAAGGAACTTAAGTTTAAACGAAATTCATGAGGATCATATGACGTGTTGTGTGTTTGCTGAGCAGCGAAGATTTTGCATTTTATGCAGAAGTTTGTTTCAAATGGTTCGGAGACAGAGTAAAGCATTGGACTACTTTCAATCAGCCAAATCTGCAAGTTTTATTGAGCTACCGCACAGGAAGATTCCCACCAAGTCGATGCTCTAAACCATTTGGGGATTGCATTGAAGAAGACGCAGAATCTGAGCCCTTTATGGCAGCCCATAACATTATCCGCTCCCATGCTGCTGCCGTTGACATCTATAGAACCAAGTACCAGGTAGGGAGTGTGGATCGTATGAAAAAGGAAAGATAAAAGGGTTAAGATGTATTTTTGGCCCGGGAATATTCTAAAAGAACTTGTGAATACCTTAAATTGGGTCCAGAAAAATCTCCTTACCTGTAGTAACCGTTGACTCTCCCTACATCGATTAAAAGAGAGTAGTATAACACTGATTTTGAAAGTTTATGTGCTACATTACTCCAACTTCAAATAATTCCTCCAAAAATACTTCTAAGACAAAAATGCATTTTAATCTAAGATATATATATATATATATATAGAGAGAGAGAGAGAGGGAGAGGGAGATATATGTATGCATGCGTGTGAAATAGATGAATAAACAAGAATGACTATGCAGTAACTGTGTTACGGATGAAACATCCAGAAAGAGCAAAAGGGGAGCATTGGCATAGTCTTGCAAGCTGTATGGTATGAACCAATCAGCAATTCTACAGAAGACAAAATGGCTAGTGAGAGAGCACTATCATTCAATTTTAATAGGTATATTTATTTATCCCCTTTCATTTTGTACTTGCAACGCCATAAAAGCAGCAACCACAGAAAATTTGTTGTAATGCAGGTTCTTAGGTCCAATCATCTTTGGAGAGTACCCTTCAGAGATGAGAAGATTCTAGGGAACATACTGCCCAAATTTTCCAGCACTGAAATGGTGAAACTCCAAAAAGGATTGGATTTTGTTGGCATCAATTACTATTCCAGTTCCTATGTCCAAGACTGCATTTACTTGACATGTGAATCAGGAGAAGGGATCACCAGAACAAAGGGTTTGTACCGAATAAGTGAAGAGAAAAACGGTGTGCCTATTGGCGAACCTGTAAGTGGCCTCAACTCTGCAATGATCGCTTTCCTTTCCCCTTCCACTCTTCCAGAGATTATTTTTAGATGAACCAAACCCATTGAACATGTCGATTTAACGTCAATTAGTGTCTTCCATATGCATTCTCTATCCAATACTGAATTTGCTATCATGCAGACCACACTTGGTTCATGTGCTTACCCACAAGGCATGGAAAAAGTGATCACACAGGTGAAAGAGAGATACAATGTTCCAATGTTTATTACGGAAAATGGTATAAAAAAAAAAAGAATATTTGTTTAATTTAATCCAGTTCCAGAGCATTTATTTACAATTCACATTTATTATTAGAAGAACACATTAATGACGTTAAAAGAGTTAAGTACATGAAAGATCACTTGAGTGCCTTGTTATCAGCAATAAGGTAAGAAAATTAAATAATTGAAGACAACAGCATAAATGTCCAGCAGATCATTTGGATACCCTTATATTGTTCTTTATATTTTATCTACTATAAATTTGTCTAACCAATAGCTGATATTTTCCTTGAGACTAATGAATCACCAGAAATTAAATTACTAAATTAATATCACTTTTGCGTTCTTGATTCCCCCCCCCCCTTCCTTAACATGTGATCAGGAAAGGAGCAGATGTGAGGGGGTACTTTGCCTGGTCCTTGCTTGACAACCTTCAGTGGTTACATGGATATATATGAAGATTCGGGCTATACTATATTGATTATTCTACTCTGAAGAGAACTCAAAAATTATCAGCATGTTGGTATAAGCATTTCATTACAAAGCATAAAACAGAGGCTTTTAGTTCAGAACACGAGAAGGAGCAGGAAAACCAGCGCAGACAATTCAAGACAGGCGCCAAAGTTGAATAATTTATACCAAAGCCCAATCAACTTCGCTTCAATAATTTATGACTTTTGCTCGGTGCTTCCATCACCAAGCAGAGTCTGTAAGCTTCATTTTCTCTTCATAAACTAATATTTCAATTCAAGAATCATCTCTGCTCTGGCTCACCTTGTCAATTTAATTCTGAAGGAATGTGTACTACAAGCCACCGAAGCACATGATACCACAATTAACACCCTCTGATTGTCTTCTTTTCATTTATTTTTGTGAACCTAGGAATAGACTTACCGTCTAACTTCTCCAATCTTTAAGGAATTCTTGCGTCCTTAATAGGATGAGAAACCCTCTCAATTAGAATGACAGCATGCTCAAAAAACTGGAGGCAAAAGAAATGGGAATTTGCCGCTGCGTCTTGCCAATAAGCATGCACCCTTAAGCATTTTCACACCTCCACCAAGGGGACCCTGCTTTGTAAAAGTGATCACCGTCATCCCACGATATTTGACAGGCTTGAAGGCCAATTGCAACACTTGGTTCCTTCCCGTGTTGTGCAATCCAATTTGAAACAGCCATTTCCTTTTCACCCTCAGCAATAAGATCTTTCTTGTGTTTTCCAAACGGATTAGTTCCAGGGTTAGCCATCTCCTCAAGTGCAGCTGGCATGTACATAGAATCACCAACTAGTGGTGCCTTACTCGCAGCAAATTGGGCTCGAATCTGCACATTTAAAATATATATACACATCAAATTCAGTTTCACAAGAAGGAAGAAGACATGAGAAAATCCTACACATATCCATGATGTAGGCAACCTTGTAAATACTAGCAAGCAGTACCAATCAGTTCTTCTTAGGAGAAAAAAGAACAAGTAATTTATAACAAAGCGTTAGGTATTGAGCGCTGTGTGAATGTGTTCTTTACTTATTTTGGATTTTTTTTTTGGGGGGGGGGGTGGGATGCAATTTAGAAAATGTGACCTTTCCAAGTTCAAACCTTAATTCACCAACCTTAAAGCCACCATCTCTAGACTAACTATTGTGTCAGCTGAATCATTTTTCAGCAATTCAATGCTGTTGATCAAAGGTTTATGTCTCATTAAGACATGTTTGATAACTCAGAATGGAAGAGATAGGACAAACCCCCCCCCCAAAAAAAAAAAGCAAAAATGCAAGGACAGACCTGATGAGTTTTACCAGTAAGAAGGTTGATTGTACACTCATACGCATAATCTTGGGAAGGCCATCCACAATCTTCAATACAAAACTTGTCTTGAATAAGAGTAGTTGGCCAGGGGACCTTTCTGCATTCCATGACCTCAAGTTGACACAAGTGCCATCCCTCAACGTAATCTGCATCACATAAACCGATAGGATTTAATCTCCATAATTCATGACTTTTGTCTATAAACTTCTTGTGCACAGAACAAAAGATGTTTCAAAATTCAAATTTGCAAAGACAAATGAGATTGTCAATTTCCACGTTTCTTAGAAAATAAAGTTTATTAATAATAGGCCAGTACAGGATAAAAAATATTCGAATTAGTACCAGTCATAGAATATAACGATCACACAAGTTGGTAGAGCACTGACGTCCATCATTGTCAATGCGTCTAAGCAAAATTTAATGGATACGAATGTGATACTTGCAATTTTTACCCATCCACCCCCCAAAAAACAAAAAAAGTAAAATTCTCCTTATTTTTCAAGATTTCACTAAATAACTAGAGCAGCATTTTTGTATCATTTAAGAACATCACTACATCTTATTCTGTTAACTCTAAGGAAGATTGTCACTCAAGTTCTGCTGATGAGAGCACGGCCACATAGCCTTTCCTTCCCTATCTGGTGATGCTCCCACAAGGCCAACAAATGAAGCTTACTCAACTGTAAAAATTTAGCTATTTCAAGGTTATCAAGCACTGTTTTTGAATCATAATCATACCCGTACGCATGATTACCTTCAGAAATAAGACGAGGAGCCCTGTTAACTGGACGCATATAATGGCTAATAATTCCACATGGCACAGGAGCAGCTGCGAGAGCAAGATAAAGCTTCTTCACCTTTTTCTCCTGGACAAGAATGAACAACCGAAGACATAAGACAAATCCAGTAATGAATGGACTTAATATGTACATGACGTTCATTTTCTAAAGAACGCATTATTCCATATGGAAAACCATTTTACAAAAGGCAGGCCCTTCAGCTTATGTGCTAAAGTAATCTAGAAATACATTTGCATGTTTTCATCCATTAGAAGCCATTCTAACATGACATAAGAAATTATATCACAAAACTTACCCTGATTTTACCATGAAAGACAGAGCAATATTCTTTAGTCCTAGCAAATACTACACTGCATGTAAATTACCACCCATTACAATCTTTGACAGATAGACTGACAATAAGCAACAAAAAAAATCAACAAAATAAAGTACCAGCCTTCCGTGCAATTGTCTATCTGATGGGTAGTCATCAACGGGGTTGTAAGTCCCAAGGCACGGGTTGCAAAGGTTGCACAAGATTCTTCAATGTTGTCGGTAGTGCCACCTACCTAAACCAAGAGGCACCAAAAACTTAAAGGAAATGACCAACCATATCATAATCACAGATATGAAATGCACAAATAAAGTTCCAAAAATATCAAAAAGAATCTTAAGTCTTCAAATGAATCAGCTTTGTAACGCTACCTATTATTCAAAGCTTGCACTGAACAAACTATACACACTCCTAAAGCCAATTCTTATCCTTAAACATGGGTTTGCTACTTTAGCTCTGAGGTTATAATTGGCCTCGGATTTCCGCTTGGTTTTTGGACATGGTTAAATGTTCTTTACTACATCAGGAGGTCTAAACTTTAATTCATACTCAAAATCAATTCTGATGTCACTCATCAAAACAGGTGAGATATTGCAGCATTGACACATACTGATGTTCCAGCCGGTTTATCCAAAACCACATATGACTCAGCCACAGCTATGATTCTTGATCTCCAGTCAATCTCATAACACCTAAAAAGAGACTAAATGTCAAACATGATCTCTTTTTCTTGTAAAATTAACATATAATTCTAACAAGCATTGGGTAATACCTTGGAAAGCGTTTAGGGTGTACATGTACTCTTAAATAGGTTCCTGGTTCCACAAACTGATCCACATGAGTTACTCGAAAAGTCTTCTGGGCCTCTCGTATAGTTTTCCCTTTGATTGAAGATCTCTTTCTCAAAACTGATGGTTCTGTTGCTTCTTTGAATATCCTAATCTCCTCCTGAGTAGCGCTAGGAGGGGGTTGAGGACAGACAAGAGCATAGTATACAGCCCCAAACTGGATTAGATCTGCAACAAACCTTCAAGGAATCAAACTGTAAATTTGTCATGCCACAGAATAATAGTGTCATAGATTGTTTAATTAGAAGAGATACAGAGTATCACTTACAAAGGAGGAAAATCTAGAGCTTTGCAAATATATTCTAAGACAGGTCCTCCTTCTGAAACAACCAAGTGTTCAACTCTTGGTGCCCAATTTTGTGATGGACACGGAAGCAAACGGTCATACTTTGGGTACCTTAAACAAGATCAAATCTCATTAACAAGCCAAAAGTGCAAGCAGTAGAAATCGACTTCTAGCGACCATGAACAAAAGCCAAGCTACTAATAATAAAGATAAGCATGAGATATGTTAAATAAAATCATGGAAGTGACGTGATCCAACAACACTGTCAAGCCATTAAGTGATAAATGCATGGTTGAAGAATTAACATAGAAGCCTTATAACTCAAACGGTCACCAACATGTCCCAAATGACAGTTATTATCCCAAATGGCATATTCTAGGTGAATTTCCCCATATTTCAGGAATCCAGCAGACTGGAACTTCATGTCCATCCCAATATAATTCACACACATAATGAACAACATTGTGATAAACAAATAAATAGATAAGGACCACCTCTTTATCATTTTAACAATCACTGGGCCGACTAAATCTCAGTAAGCATAGAATCACAATAGTGAATCGTTTTAAAACTGGAATTCAGCACGCATGCAATTTGAACATAAATTGCGAAAGGAATTTATGTTATTACAGGAAGAATAAAAAACACTATTCCAAAAACATTTTTCCCACGGAGTTTTCTCTTGCAGAATACAAAGAGTTTTCAGGTGAAATATCTCTTTCAAGCGAAAAACACAAAAAAAAGAAGAAGAAATTACGCAAGAAAAACGGAAGAATGGGATATTGAAGATTCCCACCCATTAGAAGTAGTGGTTGAGTTGTTAGAGTATACTCTTGAGGATTCACTGGCAAGTGCATTGTTATGTGAACTCCTTGGATAAAACCATTTCAGAGAACGTTTGTTGTAGTGCTTGGTAAGAACCGAATGGGAGATGTCAAGTGTTCGCACGAGAGCCATGGGTATACCGAAGCTCCGGCAGCCACTGGCCAACATGGCGGCCATAGTCACCGACCCCATCAAGGGATCTTCCTTTTAAATTCTAGGAGCCAGGAAGCACTTTGCTTCTTTGCAACGTCCCTGACACTTAACTCCGAGCAGCAAGCACCGAACAGAAAGAAACAGTGAGCAACTGAGCATTATCAAGTTGGCACGCGAGTATTGAATCTCGGATTAAACCTCAATATTGGGTCATTATTATGATTTGGGCTTGTTGGGCTCTGGGCTACCCTATGGGCTTGGCCCTTCTAGCCGAAATATTTTTTCTCCCTTTTTATACGAAATCAATTCACGTAAAAATTTTCAAAATTTCTCATTATAAAGTTGAGTGTGCCAAAATTTCTTTTTATTTGGATAAAAAGTGGAATTTCATATTTTATGGATAAATTATATTTAATTGTTGATAAAAAAAATTTTGAATTTTCATTTTTATATAATTTCTCATATACTAATACTTTTTTTAATCTTTTAATTTGATCACTCACAAGTATCATCATTAATATAATTAATAATAAAATGATTTTATGATATCATTTATAATCACATAGAATGCATTTTACATCTCAGTGTATTTGTTAGTTTCATTCGCCATATATTAATAGGATATCCGATGATTTTTTTTTTTAGAAGAATGAAATGAATAGGACTTTTTTTTTGGGGGGGGGATAATTTGAGCAGTCAAATTGAAAGAATTTTATTTGAAAATGACCAAATATAAAAGATAATCTTGTGACTGGCTAAATGTGAGACTCTTCCAAACTGATTATGCCACTACAAGCAATTAATTCCCGAGCAGGAACAAGAAGATCAGTACAAACATTTCAAAGGCAAAGATTAGGATTAATGTTTTCTTCAAGAAGGGACTGACTTTCCTTCATAGCTCAGACTATTAGTGGTTAACTGTTTTGTCACCGGGGGATTAAAAGAAAAAGACTAGGATTAAATTGTGGATATTTAATTTTCAAGCAGAATCAGTGACTTTAAATCCTTTTCAGGAAGGTCAACTAAATTCATTAATACCTATTCTGTGTTTCAAACATAAGATAATACTCTTTCCGGTCCTTGATATAGGAACAAGCTCAAGACTTGAACTTGATTCTAGCTATAAGACATTAATTCATTTTGTCTTTTATATCTATCGTTTTTTTCAAATTAATATATGATCATCTAGTGTTTTACAGGGATATTTTTAATGAGATCAAGTCATATATGTTGCAATTAACTAATTTATTTAACTTTTTTATAATCTATTCAAATTAGCTAAGTAGCTATTTTTAAGATATGTTTTGATTTCCGAAACGCATCGATCTCTAAGGATGGGTTGGGAAAATAGACTTCATGTTTTCCCTACCCATAAAACGCACACTTAATAAGAAACCTCTTCTACGCACCCACATAAACGGGAAGCAAGGGACATGGGAATTGAAGCTGATGCTTGTCATTAAGCACAAACTCTAAGCATCTTCACCGCTCCACCAAGGTGGTCCAGCTTGGTAAAGGTGTTCGCCATCGTCCCACGATATTTCACAAGCTTGAAGGCCAATTGCCACGCTTGGCTCCTTTCCATGTTGAGCAATCCACTTTAAGATAGCCATTTCCTTTTCACTGTCACTACTAAAATCTGTCCTGTGCTTTCCAAATGGATTAAGTCCAGGATTAGCCGTCTCTGCTACCGCAGCTGGCATGTACATCGAATCACCAATCAATGGTGCCTTACATGCACTAAATTGGGCTCGAATCTGTACCCAAAAAAATTTATTCTTCAACTTTCAAATGTTGTTTATCAACAGCAAATGACTCATAAAGGCATGGAAGAGACAAGACCCAAGCAAACAATTCAAATGAAAGAAATAAGTGAAGTGCAGATGACAGACCTGATGAGTTTTACCAGTGATAAGGTTGATTTTACACTCATATGCATAATCTTGGGAAGGCCATCCACATCCCTCGATACAGTACTTGTCTTGAATAACAGTGCTTGGCCAGGGGACCTCTCTGCATTCCATGACCTCAAGTTGACATAAGTGCCATCCCTCCATATAATCTGCATCACTTGAACCACTATAGTTTCAATCCTCATCACAGAATTCACAGGATTTGTCTTTAGAACAAGTCAATGCTAGTTCCAAAGCATTCAATTTATTAACAATCATAAAGGTTAGTGAAGCAGTTGTTACAGGAAGGCCAAAACATGAAGGCCTGTTGAGATATAAGTATGACTACCTTCAGAAACAAGACGAGGAGCCCTGTTTACTGGACGCATGTAGTGAGTAATAATCCCGCAGGGCAGAGGAGCAACTGCAAGAGCAAGATAGAGTTTCTTCACTTTTTTCTCCTGAAAAAGAATAAATAATCAAAAGCTTATGATTTGGATACATTTTACGATTCCAAAAAGGAAACCCTTTTACAAATGCAAGATCCTGCAAAGTATCAGTTACAGTAATCAGGGTGTTTTTCCATGAAGGACAGGTTATTCTTGCATAGGGCAAGAAATTATATCATGAGCTTACCCTGATTTTACCATGAAAGATAGAACTGTATTCTTTAGTCCTTGCGAATACCACACTGCATGGAAATGACCATCCATTACAATCTATGACAAGCTTACAAAGAGCAACATATATGACATAACGGAATAAACTACCATCCTTCTGTGCAATTATCAATCTGATGGGTAGTCAACAAAGGCGTAGGGAGTCCCAAAGCACGAGTTGTGAATGTTGCGCAGGTTTCTTCGATGTTATTAGTAGTGCCTCCAACCTAACCAAAAAGAACAAGAAACTAAAAGCAATTCATAAACTAATCATATAGATAAGAAATGCACCAATGAATTTCAAACATGTCACGAAGAATCTCGAGCCTCCACATCATCTTTATAAACCTAACAGAAGTAAACATGCTCCAATACCAAGGAGGAAGAAACCAAGAGAATAATGGTGAATGATAATACCAAAATGGCTCATAAATGGTGTGCAAAATCCTGCTTTTCTCAAGTTTCCGTTAAGCTCTTGCCTGGGCCCTCAGGTTATGTGTCACCTTGGGATTTTGCTTTGGGTTTAAATTCAAGTTTAAATGTTCCCTATTACTTAAGAAACATAAAAAAAAAATTCAAGGTTAACTTGAAAAAAACTCTGTTGGATATCTACTTGAGGTTAATTTTTCCGATGTCACCCGTCAACAGAACTGAGATATCCTGGGATTGACACTACATACCGATATACCAGCAGGTTTGTCCAGAACCACATAAGACTCGGCCACAGCTATGATTCTTGATCTCCAGTCGATCTCATAACACCTAATTGAAATAGACTAAATGTTAAACACGGTCTTCTTCCTCAAAATTATACACATAATTCCAACAAGCAATCCATATTACCTTGGAAATCGTTTGGGGTATACGTAGATTCTTAAATAGGTTCCTGCTTCTACGAACTGATCCACATTGGTTACACGGAAAGTCTTCTGTGCCTGTTGTATGGTCATCCCTTTGATGGACAGTCTTTTTCTTAAAACTGATGGTTCTGTTGCTTCTTTGAATATCCTAATTTGCTCTTGAGGAGCAGTAGAAGGAGGCTGTGGAGACACAAGAGCATAATATACGGCTCCTAATCGGATTAGATCTGCAACGAACCTTCAAATTAAGAATGAAACTTCCCATTTATCATGCCATATGATAGAAGAAGATTGCCACACATATTGGTCAATGTTGAGAGATAAAGAGTGGCACTTACGAAGGAGGCAAATCCAGAGCTTTGCAAATGTATTCTAAGACAGGACCATCTTCTGAAACAACCAAGTGTTCAATTCTTGGCGGACTATTATGTGATGGACATGGAAGCAAGCGACCATGCTCTGCGTAACTTAAACAAGATCAAATGTCGGTGAAAACTGAGAACCAAAATATCAGAGTGGTAGAAATTAATTTCCAGCAACCATGAAACGGGTAATGACAATTAAATAAAATAAAATAAGGCGCTCCTATAAGATGAGAACATGATAGCTCGTAGGTGACCGACGTATAATTAAAGAATCAAAGTAGAATTCTCATAACTTGGTCTCTAAAAACATCACAATTGATAGCCACCATATAAAAGAGCTGATTCTAGTTTTAATTCCTCCACGTTTTGCCTCATATAGATAGTATGGATGAGAGACATTAAGGTCAACATGCTAATCAAAAATCAATATAAATTACAGAATAAAAACGAAGTTGGGATGCAGAAGTACCCAGTGGAAGAAGACGAAATGGGTCTGCTGGTCAAGTCTGCTCTTGAGGACTCACTGTCGCCAGTAAGTGCTGTGGAAAGAGTGTTCATAGGAGAACAGCATTTCACGGCATAATTGGAGATTTGGAGAGTTCGAGCCAGAGACAAGGAAAGAACGAAGCTCCGGCAGCCACTGACCACCATCGACGCCGGAGTCACTGACTTCATCCTCAGCCTCCTCTGGAACGCTGTGAAGCCTCAATATTTTCGGAGCGTTATTCTGGGGAGAGTGTTCAGAACGAAAATAGAAAGATAACGAGAATTTGAAGATCAAAGGTAGTTATCAACTTATTATATTAAGAAAAAATTATAGTGTATTTTTTGAAAAAAAACAATTAATTAATTAAAAAGGGATGTGTTTAATTACATTTATATTTTTTGCTTAACTTTTATTAATATTTATCTGCGTAAATGTATAACAAATTGTGCTTGTATTTTCACATTAAGAAATTCTAAGTTCAAATATTATTAAAAAAATCAAATCATCTAGCCTTTTTTTTTGGGCTATTAATCAAGTTTTTTTTTTTTGGTAGATGTCCGAAATCTTCTCAATCAAAGTAATTTTTAGCCACAATAATTAAAGGGGTATTAGCGTCAATGTAATATAGACACTATAGACATCATAGCTCTAAAATAGAGGGGGAAATAGACCCAAAAATACAAGGGGGAAATGTCTCTAACTTTTAGTAATATTGCGCGTGTATTTTTTTTTTTTTTGCTAAGCACAGTTATTCTCTTATTAAAAGTAATTATATCTGAGATACTGTCGAGTGCTAAATGTGAAAATTTTTCTTAGCTAAAATTTGTGTAATGATTCGCCATGTTATAAAATATTAACCCTTCCACCCATCCCCATTAGTAATATTGTGTATTTTCTTACCGAAGAAAAAGTGTAAGGGCATGACACACTCAAAAAAAAGGCAACAAAAAATGATTAATTATTCTTATTAAGATTGTGGCGGGCCTCAGAAGTGAGCGTCGGCATGAAGGCCCTGGATGTATGGTATGCCCGTTTGCATTGGGCTTTTATTCGTTTTTTGTAAGTATCTTTTATTTTCAAAAGCGGCAACAGAACAACAACGACAAAAAATCCATCTCCGCCACAAATGCAGACGCTTTAGCTAAAGAAGGATCATTTAGAACTTTTTCATTGGATGTTTGCCGCCTTGCCTGAGGACGCCGGATTACGGGTTATAAAGAGTTTTTAAGACTGATTTTTCATGATTTAGTTTTTGGAAAAATGACATAAAAAATTAAAAATTTTGATATTTTAATTCAAGCATTGAAGAGATCAAAATTATAAGGAAAGAAGTGATAACTGACCTGGTATTTTGTAAATATAATCAAATGACTAAAATGTCATTGTATCAGTTTTTTTTATAAAAAAAAGTTATCAAACTCATTATTATTGGCACATTTCTTGTCATTTGTATTCAATACTTGCCAGTACTAATTTATAACTTATTAATAAATATCTCATCACTGTCAGTACATTTTTTTATTATTTGTTGTTTAATACTTGTCATTATCAATTCATAATTTATTAATAAACTCTTTGACACAAACGCACTTTTGTCATTTAACTATATTTACAAAAATATCATATCAGGCATAATTTTCTCTCTTAGAATTTTAACCTCTTAGATGTTTGAATTGGAATATTATAATTTTTAACTTATTTTTACGTCATTTTCCTTTTAATTTTTCTTATCCTGGGTCTAGCCCTCTTTTGTAGGAGAAAAAACACGTCTGTTTTATTTAATTACAAGGTGTTTAGATAAAAAAAAAAAATCATAATTTAAAAAATAATTTTATAATATATAAAATAAATAAGTAAGAATAATTTTGTCTGAACGTAAACCAAATGCCCTCTCAAAGGAGATTACAGCGTAATCTTCCTTATTTGAATTTTGATCGCATTTGAATCTAGCTATTGTAATTGCCGACATAGGGCATAACTAATTGTGAGGTGGCGAATAAATTTGTGACCCGAGAGATGTGAAATATACTGACAAGTGGTTCTCAAACTCATGAAGGTCAAGGAGGATCGGGTCCCAAAAAACACAAAGAAGAAGAAGGTCAAGGAGGAGTGCTGTGTGGTGTTAAAATGTTTGTTGATTATCCGATGCCCGATGGCGTTGGCCTCCACCAACTACACACACTGATTAATCTTAATTAAAAAGACTATAATTTTAAAAATAATTTTATAATATGTGAGAGAAAAAATTTGTCTTAACTCATATAAAAATACCTTTTAAAAACATTTTTTCCCCGTAAACCAAACATTTTTGTGTTGGTATGTGTAAACATCCGCCTCCGTCTTCATCTCACTCTCACGGCCTCCGCTTTAAATACCCAACGGATTTCCCCCTGCTTTTCATCCATTGCTTAGGGGGTGTTTGATTCAATAAAACAACACAAAAAATAACACTTTTAAAAAAAAATACTTCGTCTGCCATAAAATTAATGTTAAAACTATAATTTGGTTTTCATGACAGCAATATTAACAAAGTAATAAGTAAATTAAATTATTTTTATGTTAAAAAAATTGGTTAAAAGTTCGCTAATTAGAAAATCACCATATGATAAATGCTTCTAACATTTTAAATATTAAGATACTCGCTGCATTAAAAATAAAATTAAGGTATTGAGTATGCCAAAAAATAAGATTGAGATTATAGATGCATCATAAAGAGGATAAAAATGATGGATATACTTGGATTCTCTTTAAAATTAATGAGACAGGTTGAATTTAGCTGCTTGTAGCTTATTTATACATGCTTATGTTAAATGTTTATGAGCACTTTTATATAAAAAAATAAAACTTTTTTTTATATATTTACGCCGTACTTCATAAATTAAATGATGCCATTCTAAACTAGCCCTTAAATAATTGTGCTTTAATTTTATTTTTTTATTAAGAAAAAGGTCTAGGTGGACACGAATAAAAGCGAAGGAAAAATGAAGAAAAAAGATGAAGTGGGACCGCAAAATTAATGGTACGTCTGACAAGAGAAGAGATGGCAGGCGCGCACGCGGTGCGGTCCCAACGGCCATCTGCCACATCACCACACCTCCCCTGTCCCCATAAATGAATTAGACCCTAATTTATGTTACTTTGAATTTTTAATATAAAATTTATTTGATTTTTATTTTAATTCTAATTATAAGATCTAAATCTATACTATTTCTCCGGTCAAAAAAAATCTATATTATTTTTTATATTTATATATTTTTAAACGTATTTTTTCTAATAATAGTAGTTTTGACAATAAACTTGATTAGTAAGGATATTTTTAAAAAAATAATATCTATTTATTATAAATAACTAACTTAACTTATTTTCTTAATCTCTTCAAATTAGTCAACCAGCTCTTACAATTAGGACCGGAGGTAGTACTGTATAATGTACTCCTCTGGTCCTATTTATAGGGCAGAGAGAGAATGCATTTTTTGGTCCTATTTATGAGGCATTAAGAGAAATTTTTTATATGGATGTATAATTTTATCCTTTATTTATTATTGTGTTGACTTTGCTTACATGAAGTATAATGTATATTAAATAGAGATAAAGTTGAAAAGTTATTAAATTTTAAATAAGAGTTAATAAAATTTAATATTTTTCTTGATCTATTTTAAACATGTTAAAAATTCTTTATAAATAGAGTCAAAGGAGTATATTACACGCAAGGTTTCGCGTCAATTCTCTTTTATTCCTCCACACGCGCCAATAAATTATTCCCACCTTGCCCAAAGTATTTAGCCCACGGGCTGAGGGCCTCGCAGCCCAGACATGTTGACTTTGTCGTTCAACCTAAATCCGTCATTATCAGCAAGTTAAACTCGTCAGCCCGAATAACAATAAGCTTTTTAAAAAGAAAAATAACATACCAGCAGTCCTGATTATAAAAATTAGTTAATTAATTAAAAAAGATTAAAAAATAAGTTAAGTTAGTTATTTGTAATAAGTAGGTATTGTCTTTCTTAAAATATCCTTATTAATCAAATGTATTGGTTAGAACTACCATTATTAGAAGGACTATCTTTCAGAAAAATGCATAAATATTGTAGACAAAGTGAATTGGGTCTTATATTTAGGACCAAAATAAAAATCAAACAAAGTCTTATATTAAAAACCAGAGATAGTAATTATTAAAAAGTTTCAATAATAATTTAAACAACTGACAAGTTTCATAATAAAAAATTAACAATTTCTAAAATTTGTTTCGTAATTATTTTTCTTTCTTGAAATCTTATTATAATTCTCCTTATTATTAGCTACATGTGTATAAGGTTGCAAAAATTATTGATCAAATTATTGTTTTACTCTATTAATCAGAATTTAGAGATGACCATGCAACTTTTTCCCCCAGTGATCAAGCAACTTATAATGTGTCAGTCCCAAAAAAAAAAAACAACTTATAATGTGTGTAACTTACCACCATGTTCATAGGGAAAAAATTTGCTCCTGAATGTAAGTTACTTGTAGAGTAATTGATGAGTTAAAACGGCGAATTATAGGGGACATCAAATGACAGAGAAAATACTATGAATGAAACCTTTTAAATATAGTGAAAAATGTATTATTTTTGACAGTTTTTTTTCCTTTTAGTATTCTTTCCTCTTTAATTTTCTTCTCATCCTAACTAAATATAGTAAAAATCTACCATGCATGCATCATATACAATGAACTTGATTCAAGATTCCAAATTTTATATGATTAAAAAATGTAATCAAAACGAGGGCGACAAAAAAATTATAAAAGATTGGAAACAATTCGTATATAATTCCAAAAGCGGTTGCAAGTTACAAAGCATCATATCACAGATTTGAATCAACCGTGAGCCATCCAACTGACTCTTGAGAGGCAGGTCTCGTAATAAATACTGATATAAAGATATATAGATCAATGGATTGTGAACCAGTAAGATATAATAATCAAATTATCATTTGCAATAATATAATTTGAATTATTGCTCAGCTATAATTATATAATTGACACCCCACAATTAGATATGTGAAAGGAGCAGTAAATGCATCCATGGATGTGAGTAGTTTAATTTTCCTTAAACATCTCTCTCATTTCCATTCCTTTTTTTTCCCTGGGTTTTTTCCATTCATAATTTTGGAGAAAACACACACACAGAGACACTCCTTTTTAAATTATAAGGCATTTTTAATTGATTTACACCCTCTGATAAATTAG